GTTCGAATCCCAGCAGTGGTTGGTTGATATGAATTTTGCTCCCGGTTCACGCCTACCACATTGCTGACGTAAAAAATCATCAGTGGTAGATTGCTGATGGCCTATAATCCCCTTGCCATCAGGCTAAGCGTGGGAGATTTTCTTGGTTTTCCCCTCTATGTAGTGCAAATGCGGGTTAGTTCCATTAAAAAGTTTACTACAAAGGCAAATTTCTGCCAATATCTGATCCAGGTTTTCCTTGTTTTCTGGATTGACTTCAAAATTGCAAGGCTACGGAGTTGAATATTAGCAGTCGCAAACCCAAAAAAATTGGGCCGGCTGTTCAACCACGGTTATAAAATAAAATAAGGGTAGAAGAAGAGCAGTGGTGGCTTAAGGGATAGAACACTCACCATTCAATGAGGTGAACCGGGTTCGATCCCAGGTATGGCTGGTTGATATGAATTTCGCAGTCGGCTCGCACCGACCACAGTGCTAACGTAAAATATCCTCAGTGGTAGACCGATAATGGGTTAGAGTCCCCTTGCCGTTAGGATAACCGTGGGAGGTCTTCGTGTTTTATCTCTCCATGCAATGAAAATTCAGATTAGTTTCATTAAAAAGTCCTCCACGAAGAATAGTTTGCCCCTATGCTTGGTTCAAAAGTTCCTTTGTTTTCTGAGTTGGGTTCAAAATTATAAGGCAACGGGGTTGAATATATGAACTCCGAATTGGGCCCACTGTTGAACGCCAGTTATAAAATAAATCAATAAAAATATTTCCTACCAAGGCCAAGTTTCTTCACAACACAAGGTATTGATTTAAAATCTCATTCTTATTCGATAAAGTGAAGGTTGAAAACAATTCTTGTGTCAAAACTGTTTAAATATGAACCCAGCTTTAAATCCTAATGTCGCACAAGAATTATGGAAATCTATGAAAGGAAGTGCCTTTGCATGACAAGCATATGCAAATTGGAGAATACCATTTGTTTTTTGAGACAATATTTTTAGTTTTTATGCAATAAATGTCTTCAATATATTAAGCTAAATACGTTTCTCACTGTTATGCAGTTAAACATGAAGTTGCGAAAATCTATTCTCATATATATTGCCCGAGGTAATTAACGTCAGAATTTGCGAAAGATTTGAATTGATAACTTAAAATATATTAGACTTTAAATCTTTTAAGTTATCAATTCAAATCTTTATACTTATTAACTTTATATACTTATGTGAATTTATGTTAGTATATATACTATATACTTATCTTATAAACTTTATACTAACATAAATTCATCTTGAGTCATATATATATTTATATATATACAAGATGAATTTATGTTAGTATAAAGTTGATGAATGATAAATATATATAGCATTTGTATAAATGCAACCAAAAACTTGTTCTCCTGTGTTATTAAAAATTACCATCTGAATTTCAGAAATAATAAAGAAAATCCTCTAGAACATCATAGGATCATTTCATATTTACTGAAATGAAACGATTTGGATTACTAATGATTCCAGTTCTGCTCCACCTCTACATTACATCATAGAATCATTTCATATTTACTACTGAGCTGCAATGAAACGATTTGGATTACTAATAATCCCAGTTCTGCTCCACCACTAAATTACATCATAGAATCATTTCATACTTACTACTGAGCGGCAATGAAACGATTTGGATTACTAATGATCCTAGTTCTGCTCCACCACTACATTACGTATAAAACATCATAGAATCANCAACAACATGAGAATATATATATATATATATATTAGAAAGTCTCACATTTGAACGTGCGTTTATCGGAAGCGAAGAATATACATTGGGGAAAGAGTCTAGCTTCCATAGACATAACGTAAACCAGTCTCCCAAGGTTAGTTGCGGTCCCTGTGTATAAAGGAGAAAACACCATTTCAGAGCACAACAGCAGAGGTTCTATAAACAGGCTTGCACCCTCCTCTCCTCCTAACCAATACTGAGATTAGGGAAGCGTTGTGGTGAAGAAGAAAAATTTTCTTTTTTTAATCTTGTGTTTGTTGTGTATCTTTACAATACTGATAAGCAGTACTGTACTATTAATTAAGATATTATTAATACATTTATACATCTAACACATTTTAACATAAAAAGAAATAAAACATTTCATGGAAATATATAAATTGAACCGAATGTGGAACATATAATGGTACAAGAACCAGAACAGACTTCAGTGCCTCAAATGGTATTGATGTTACATACTCTAAGTACGTACGTATAAATTAAATAGAGTTAAATAAGTCTGTCACAAAAAAAACTAAAGAAAAGAAATGTGGCTCTGGGTTCATGGAAGATATCCTATGAGAGGTCAATATTAATGAGCATTTTCTTATCAGCTTTTAATAATCTATAGTTATGGTTCCAAAACATTTTCAGGCTTCTAAAAATACAACATGTCACATTTTTAGACATATTTTTGTGATGTAATATGTCACCTTACAACTTAGTATACAAAAAATATACAAACTGCCGTCACTTCATTGTTGAAATGGAACAATGGGATATGTTCCACTCGACATATCGACATATTTGACGTGTCTGAGGTCGGCATGTTTGAGTTTCCAAAACGTGATAGTCAGGTCTACGCGGGATTTAAGGAAAACATTAATAAATGAAAACAACGAAGGAAAACTTGATATTTGTAAGAACGGTGGTGACCAGGGGAAGAAAATCAGGATAGAATACATTGCGATACTTGATGTAGGGGTGGAGCAGAGCTGGGATCATTAGTAATCCAAATCGTTTCATTGCAGCTCAGTAGTAAATATGAAATGATTCTATGATATTTCATACGTAATGTAGTGGTGGAGTAGAACTGGGATTATTAGTAATCCAAATCGTTTCATTGCAGCTCAGTAGTAAATATGAAATGATTCTATGATATTTCATACGTAATGTAGTGCTGGAGCAGAACTGGGATCATTAGTAATCCAAATCGTTTCATTGCAGCTCAGAAGTAAATATGAAGTAATTCTATGATATTTTATACATAATGTAGTGGTGGAGCAGAACAGAGATCATTAGTAATCCAAATCGTTTCATTGCAGCTCAGTAGTAAATATGAAATGATTCTGTGTTGTTTTATACGTAATGTAGTGGTGGAGCAGAACTGGAATCATTAGTAATCCAAATCGTTTCATTGCAACTCAGTAGTAAATATGAAATGATTCTATGATGTTTTATACGTAATGTAGTGGTGGATCAGAACTGGGATCATTAGTAATCCTAATCGTTTCATTGCAGCTCAGTAGTAAATATGAAATGATTCTATGATGTTCTAGAGGATTTTCTTTATTGTTTTAGAAATTTAGATGGTAATTTTTAATTACACGGGGGAACAAATTTTTTGTTGTATTTATACAAATGCTTGATCTTGCCCGATTCAATGTGGTGTGGGGATTTCAAATCTGAAATAAGTCTTCCTCATAAAGCTACGTATATTTTTAAAATGACATTTTAAATCTGTTTTTTGTTGTTGAAATATACAAGTTTTAAAACGTCATATATACCAAGGGGTCAAGTTAGTGTTGCGGCAAACTTTTAGGGAAGTTAGGACACAACATGAGATTGAAATTGCACAGGTGAGACAATGTTTCCATGCCTTGATATATTGTCGTATGTGGATAGGTGTGCTTCTCTATTATGACCAGCTCAGAAATTCACGAAGAAACAGCTCATAATAGGTAAAGCACCCTTAGTGGCGTATGACGACATTTCCGGGTATGGGCTGCTATGCAATTTTAATCCAGTTTGCCTGACCTAACTCTTCCAGAAGTTTGTCACAACATTTACGTGTCTCTCTGTTATTTATAACGTTTTTAAACTTGTATGTTTCAACAAAAAATAGGCTAAAAATTCCGTTAAAAAACTGTAGCATGGAGAGAGAAACCAATTGTAGATTTAAAATCAGAGATACGAAAGTATTTACGATCTCTTAAAAATTTCATGCCAAAAATTAAAATGTTTCACAGTGTAATAGTCGCAGATGAAGGAGCAATTAAACAAAATAAAAAATATATGATTCAAGAATTTTTTAAAAGTTTCATTCAATAAACATTTTAATTACTTTAGCTCAATGAGAATGTCTATACACTCATGACAAGACTATTATTTAAAATACGTTCATTTCTCACGAATAAAAATGTTACTTTAAAAAAATTTATATTAAAATGCCTATTATTCCCAATCAGAAATGTACGATACACTGGCATTATATAGATTATCTATGCATTTTATAGAATGTCTGATGTATAATATACTTTGCCGGTTTGTCATTTGGCGTTTCATTGAAAGAATCGGAAATGTATAAAATTAATAATCCTTTCTTACTCTGCTGGCAGTATTTTATGAAATGCCTAAGTATTCTATGTGTTCTATAAAATGCTGAAATTTCATATATGGCTCAAATGTTAAATTACAGAATATCTATTGCTCTAAATAATTTCTCAAAAAGCACTCGTATTAGAAGATGTTCGTTGTGAAAAATCTATAAAATTAAAACAACGAAATGTATCTTAAAAATGCGCCGGATGCTCCATCAAATAACCGAAGATTTTAAAAAAAGAATGTCTCCAGACTGCATTACGTTATTTTTGCTATTAGCTAAGTGGAAAACATTGATTTGCAGTCTTTCTCATCACTGCCATCTATCGTCAAATTTTGTATCTGATTTCGAAACGTGACGGAAATGAAATCTCGTTTCTTCGCACTCTTATCTCCTTCCATCTTTCTTTAATTGATTTTTCTTATTATTTGTCATTTTATGGACACCTGACATGATTATTCACTTGTAGATGAGTATTCGATTCCCAAAATTTAATGCTCCGAAATAAACACCATTCATTAAAACCCAGACTATCGTTTCGGTGAATCTCCATTTATGTTGACAATAAATTTCTGAAATAGGTTAAGGATCGCAGTAAAGTAGTCATCGTAAAAGCGAAATGATTTTGAGAGAAATGAAAATGATTTACGTCTCTTCGAACGTCAGGCAGTGTTAGCCAAAGGGGAAATATGATGGGAGCCATCAAAAGGTAAGTAAATCGCTTTCTATTGTCCTTCGGCCAGGAGATATCCAGTGGTTCGTCCACTTCGATTTCCGGTTCCGGCTTCGACTGCAGAGCGGCCACAATCTCCTGAGGATCTCCCTGGAAAGACATACATACAATATTGTTTGTTTCTATCTTGAACAAAAGTTAGCATTTAATGATATATTATTTCATACAAACACAGATTCTTCTTTGTTCAATATTTTGAACTACAATATCGTTCAAAATTGTAGCAACATTTTTATGGGCTAAGTTTCGCTGTGATAGTGGTAAATTTATTATGTTATTTTAAAACCATCTAAAAGTCTAAAATAACTAGACAATACGAGTATATCATCAAAGATAATCAGTGGAAAAAAATATTTTTCTGTATGCACTCTACTATGAATTTTAATAAATTTTCTTTGGCATTCTTTTACAATGGAAAAAACAAAATCATATATTTTTAGAAGGAATATGCAACTTAGATTAGATTTATGTTGTTGTTTATCAATTGCAAAAAAGATAAATGCTAAATTTCTTAAAATGTAAATAAAATGAAATAAAATTTTTAAAAAAATAAAAAGCTGCTTTACACTAAATATTGAAGTTTTGTGAATAAATATTGCACCAGCAAAGATTGTTCGAAACTTATTTCTTAAATTGTTCAAACATTGTAAGAAAAAACATTTTGTGAACAAATTAGAACAAAATGCAATTTTTCAAACAAAATACAACAGACTATTTTTTATATATTGAATAAAAGTAACTAATCCGAAGTTCAGCAAAATTACTGAAGAGCAGTTAATTCGTACGTCTAGGTTTCATTAGGTCGTAGATATTGATCAATTTATGCGTAGAAATAAATAAACTAAATTTAGATTTTCATTTAAACAAACATGCTATTTAATTAAGAACATTAAAAAGAATGAAATTGCAGGATAAAATGTTTATTCAACATACAATTAGGGGTATTTTCTGGCATTTTATTATGATTTAAAGCACTTTATTAAGATTACAATTATTTTGATCAATATTGTCGTACAATCCAATCCAAAATGTTTAGCAATGTATACGGTCTCTTTGCTCATATTTATCGTATCCCATCGTAATATGGTTTAACTCAACTTATTAACTAATTTAAATCTGTGATATTTATTTTATTTGAGGCACTTTATTACGATCACAGTTAATTTAATCAAGATTGTTGCTGAATACAATCCAAAATGTTTAGCAATGTATACGATCTCTTTGCTCATATTTATCGTATCCCATCGTTATATGGTTTAGCTCAACTTATTAACTAATTTAAATCTGTGATACTTATTTCATTTGAGGCACTTTATTAAGATCGCTGTTACTTTAATCAAGATTGTTGTTGAATACAATCCAAAATGTTTAGCAATGTATACGGTCTCTTTGCTCCGTATTGATTGTATCCCATCGTAATATGGTTTAACTCAATTTATTAACTAATTTAAATCTGTGATATTTATTTCAGTTGAGGCACTTTATTAAGATCACAGTTACTTTAAACAAGATTGTCGTTGAACACAATCCAAAATGTTTAGCAATGTATACGGTCTCTTTGCTCCGTATTGATCGTCTCCTACCGTAATATGGTTTATCTCAACACATTATTAGGGTTCATTTTGTGGCATTTTTTGGATTTAATGTGGTTTATTAAGGTTACAGTAATTTTTAGCAAAATTGTAGTTCAACACAATCCAAAATCTGTAACAATGTTACTGTCTCTTTGTTCGTATTTACGCTATACAACAAAATTTGCTTTCTAAGATCAATATATTGAACAATAGTGTTTTCAAAAATACATAATTTGGAAGACTTATTCTGAGCTGATCAAACAGTACATCAACGAATAAATAAAGCAATGATTGGTAGTTTTTCACAATTTAGATCATAGTCAAATCTATAATCTGATTAGAGGAAAACGAATGAAAGAATTTTAAAATTAAAAAAATTTCTTTTTTGCTCCAAATTCTCATACAAGTTTGACAACAACACAGATTATGCGTGATCACCGTTATACTCCTCTTTAGTGTTATATCTTCATTTTTAAGAATTAAAAACTCAAATGAAATAAAAATATACTTCGAAATACCTATTAGAACTACAATAAATTTTTTAAAAAATATATATTTATTTGCTAAATATTAGTAAAAATCTGATTATTTGTTTCTTTTCCTATTTCCAAAACTTGTATTCCATATTATTAGAATGAAAACCTAATAAAAAAAAACCTCGAAAATTAGAAGAAAAAAAAACCTTACTTTCATATCAAATAATAAAATCTAACTGAAAAAATAATAAGCGTATTATTCTATTAAATATCGTCATAAAAGTTAGGCTAGCACTTACATTCTTTAGGGCCACTTTCTATTTTCATTTTTCTCTCAAAGAAAACTTCTGTTAAAAGAAGCGTGGAATTTAATGGCATATCTTCTTTTACGAGCTTCTTTAATATTATTAGCAATAAATAGAGATTTGGTGGGTGCTTTTTCAACACAGAACCATTTCAAGGGTTGTATTCGCAGCACTTGACGTAATAACTTATAGATGGATGTCTGATATTGATGTTTATGACGGTTTTTGATGCACAAACGGATTATGGGGCTGATTTTTATTGACGGAACATGTTATTCTTCTGTTTCGATGATTTTAGGTTGCTTATTGTTTCGGTAATCATCCGCCGTATTGCTTCAGAATCATACAGCAGTTCATGTTAACGTATGAAATTTATATTTATTATATTGAGTCTCACATTAGCTTTTATATGAAATCGATAGTTATGTGATTTTATTTGTGAAATTATGAAAAATAATTCCAACAAACATGGTGTTCTGTAATCACTTCCTATAATATATATTTTCAGAATCTCTATCAAAAATTTAATAAAAATGCTGTACATTGGAAGTTTTGAACTGATATTGAAGCAAGGAAAAAAATATCAAAATATGACGAATCACAATTGAGGAAGGTGGGAAAAACATCAAAACTTATTTTAATTCACATAGAAGGTATTTTAAAAATTCCTTTTGCCACCTCTAAGTATCCTCTGGTAATCAAACAGGTTTTTATGTTTTTCGTAATCTCGACTTTCTTATTAATACTTCATGAGATTCTTTTAATTTATCTTAAAATTAATTTATGATGTTAATGCGTCAACTTTTTCATTTCCTTTTTGACATGGAATTTGAGCCATAATTTAAATGACCCAAACCATACCATAATGGTCGTAGCATTTAAACCATAAATGCTACGACCCAAGCTGTCTAAGTAATTGGTTTAAAAATGCTGTCACAATAATAAGAGAGATATATAAAAAATATAAACTTATGTAACAAAAACTTAGCAGTTAAATAGAACTAAATAATAATAAGATAATCATGTTTTTTCTTAGAAAACTCATACAACTTTCAACTAACAACTTTTTTAATTTGAATTTTTTTTTTTAAATTTAAGTTCCTCAAATTTTTATTTGATAATCTCAAGATAAATAAATATTACGTATCCAACTAATATGGGCTCTCAAACTTTTAGGCTCGGCTCTTAAAATAGGCCTCATTTAAATTAACTGACAGAAAACAGAACTATTAGAACAATAATTTATGTTTACTAGGAACGAGTTCATTAATGAATAATAAAAATCCCGGTTTTGCTCGTTATTTTAGTTTCTCGTGGTTTTTTTTATTTTTGCATGAATCGCATCAACAATGACGCATAACATTAATATACAATGATCAAACTTGTGCATTACATTTCTCCTTATTTCTGTGCATTGTTTAATATTTTAATTTTTAATTGTTTAATTTTTCTGGAGTGTTTAATTATTCAAAAATATATATAATGCGCAAAAAAAAATTTATTACCCTGAAGAATTTTGGATTTAATGATAGGATCTTCACTTCTAGGATTCAATCTTAATGGGTTCAGGGGGTGACTTCAAGTATGATAATTGATCAGTGCAGACTATATTTTAATTTACGAAATCAGACACAAAAACGTACTTTCTTTGAATAAACATGCCTCTTTTTTCGAGGCATTTGAATTTCATTCCATCCAAATGAAGGGGGTGGACGCAGTTTTGGAAAAATGGGCTCAATATAGTTTGGACTCATTAATGTTAATTCTACTTTTTGCGTATTTCAACAGATCTCGAGAACTTTTTAAGCCAGTTTAAAAACTTTTGCGTAAAATTAAAAAAAAATTTTATTCAAAGATAATTGCATGCAAAAGTAACTTCAGTAAATATTTATTATTTTTTATAATTTCATTTAATGATAGTCGAAAAAAATTTGAATTGCCAGTCAAACAATTTTTGCATCCTTTTCAAAAAATTAATTTTACATAAAAAAATACAAAATTTGTGCAAATTGACACAATAGTTTCTGAGAAATCAAATTTCTTTTGCTCACTGTAGAGTATTATGAATCAATGTAGAGTATTATGAATAATATGTTAGAAATCTTTAAATCGCTGATTTATTAAGGAATCGATTATGGTTTATATTATTATCTAACTACGTCTAAATTATTTTAGAGTTAACCAATTTTGTTTGAGTAACCATCATGACTCTTCATAGACACCACTTGGGAAGTTAAAAATTAATTTTAAATAATATTAACAATTTTTAAAAGAACAAATTGGATTGATTTAGAAAAAGAAGCGAAAAGTTCTCAGATCAGAGTGAAAGCTTGGAAAATTGAGGTTTCTTTTGTAGTAATGAGGAAAGAATCTAAAGCTTTTTTTGTTAAATGATCAAGAAAAAGCTTCACTTTACAAACGCATTTTCAGAAGAAATCCAAACCTATAAAAGAAGAAGCCTTTCAAATCTCGATAAGTATTTTTATACCTCGAATAAAAGATTTTATTATAAATTTAGAAATACTTATACATTTTTAACAATTTTTGTGTGATTTTTCACATATTTGAAATTTTAATTATCATCTATAATCACACAATTCCTGCTTTTCAGTTCATAGAAATATTTATTGCTGCAAATATAATTTATATTACAGCTAGGTATCACAAAACAATTTGGAATGAAATGAAACGATAAAAATAAACATATGCTCATATGCTGTAGTAATAATGAACTTTAAACTTTTCTTACTTAACGGCAAAAATATAAATACCCTTTACGTAAGAAAGAAAAACTTTTTAACGAAAATTACTCATATCGTTCGTCTTGAACGAAGGATTGTTTAATATAAATTTAAAAATAACCATAAATTTTAATAAATTTTTCGTGAGGATTAGCTTAAATTTTTAATTCTTCTTTTCAAATGAACAATTTCCTGAGCATACATAATTTGGTAAATTTAATTTCAAAGCTTAATTTTGAAAAGTCCTGAAATGGATTTTTCATCAGTTTAAAGTTTTAATTCTTCTTTTCAAATAAACAATCTCCTGAGTATACATAATTTCGAAAAATTTAATTTCAAAGCTTAATTTCCTAAAATGTAATGGTAAAAATGAGCGTTTATTATGCGCAATAGTGACAAATATCGCGTTATAAATCTTAAATGAATTGATCATATAAAAGTTGTTTATCAAGGAAGATTCTTAAGAGAGCACTTCATTAGTTAGAATGGTGTGGTTACCGAAGCTGGGTTGGGTGTGACTCCAGGTTGAATGATGGTAACGGCCGGATTGTCTGACATGATGGTACTGATGACGGGATTAGTTTTCACCGGGGACCTGTTGCTACTACAGAAGGAAGTCTCCTCCATCCTATCCGCATGCTCATTGGCTGATCCATTCACCAAAGTATTCCTCATGGATGCAGACTATTATATGAAAAAAGAAAGAGCACTTATGTAGTCATCACATATGATTAGATTGACTTATGTCTACTATGTTGTAACACAGTATTATACTATAGTTAAAAAAGAGGTTATTGTACAGTAGCGAGCGTATTAACTGATTCAAAAACGGATTTTAGGAAAACTACAGATTTTTGGGAATATTAATGCATTAAGTTCTTAATTAGTATTTATTACTCTCTCTTTTCGATTTCAGTAAAAGTTTAACGTTTTGGAATGCATTCTATCAGGTTTTTTTATTGTTTTCCATAATTTCCTAATATTTTTGTACTATACTTAAATTAATAAACAAATTAGGCTGTTGCATGATATACGTTTTTACCGAGTTTTTACTTGCAGATGAACCATAAACTCTCAATGGGATTATGATCCAAAAAGTTTCCGGGAAATTCAAAAAACAGGGAGCTTTGTTTTATTCAAAGTATTCCCTCCTTTGTTAGGAATTATGGTAAGAAGTTTTGCTGAAAAATGAAATGACTCTTCTTATTTGATCTCCTGTTTCTTCCTTAATCACTTGTTTGCCCCATTTTTTCGGCCGAAATATATATTTTTTTAGTAAAGGCCACTGTTTATCATTCTATCAACAGGAATGCGTAATCCCTACACTGCCGCATTGTAAACGACCTAAACATTTTTCTTCCAAAGTGTGGATAAACATGAAGATTTACCCTTGATTTAGTAAATAAGCTCGCTACTGCATCGTACTTTAAAAGGTGTATTTCGTAAAGCCCAAGCAAATAAATTGCCCCATAAATAAAAATTATTACAGTTAAGAAATCAACTCAAGAGGATATAAACAGTCAAGGAAGATGGAGTATATAAATTTAAACACTCTTATAAATTTAAACACGAAATTCAAAAAAGTTTCTATCACTAGAGAGATATATACAAATTTTTGGTAATTTATTCAAAGACAACATATTGTAGAAATGGTAGAAATGCAATGTTATATTTTTTACTCGACATTTTATGATATACGAATTAATTTACCTTTTTGCAATCATTAAATAGTAATGAAGCTGTATTTACTTTCTGACAAGTTATATTAATTTTTGTAATATATTTCATGTAAATCTGAATACAGTCAACATATTAAAATAAAATAGTTATTATAGAATAATTACTCAGAACTGCGAAGGAATGCTAAGAATTAACTGTAAACACTGTTTTTAATAATGTCTTTAACGAAAAACATTAAACGATTTTTTATAGTAAACGAAAATTGAATAATCTTAAAAACAATTGTGCACGAAGAAGTTCTACTATTGACTGGTTAAAATAATTTGTTTTATATTGAATGCCTACAAAATCCAGCGCTAAATAAAATCAGGAAAAATCTATGAAACCAAATCAGTGTTTTAGGACCTTTAGTTGAAAAGATTTATTAGTTATGCAACAGTTCGTTTATCATCAAGAACAGAAAATGTTTGCGAAAAGGGGAAAAAATTCTCTTTAGTAAAAAAAAAAAAGAAAAAAAAAAACTTTTTTGAAAAACTTTACGAATAATCAACAAGTAATGATTCATTTTTTAAATTTTTTATTCTGAAAGTAATATTTTCGTAATAAATTTGCAATCTTTATGCGTCAGAGAAAGCATTCAAGATGAATTAACTGAACAGTGATATTAATATTTCATTTTAAAAAATTAAGTTTTTAAGCTATTTTGTATGTAGTTTTATAGTTTTTTTTTCTCGAAAATTTCTATTTTTTAAAATACGTAATTCATCACAAGTGCTGACCACATTACCACTACCATGCCATTTTTCTGGAAAAAAAATATAGATCCTCATAACATTCCTGACCCCTTGAGCATCAACAGGCTTTTGCAGAAGGCACGAATTCATAACTTATCTGAGAAAAATAACTTTTTTTCTATGCTTTCGGATAAATCTTTAGTCGCAATTTCATAAAAATAGCCTAGCAATTTAGTCAAAGTATGTTAAGCAACGCTTGCGCTTTCTTTCTGTGCCTTCATGCCAAAAACAAACTTTTTACTAAATAAATTATAAATTTATGCAAAAGCAAAAAAAAAACATAATTTATATTCTTAAAAAAAGAATATAATTTATTATATTTATATTTATAAAAGAATATAATTTGTTATATTTAAAGCAAAAATGATCTTTTTTATTCGCGATAACTATTGTAACTAAAATATCTTGATAATCTCCGGGTCATGTTTTACGTCATAATTTGAATTTTCAAAGTATATTTTCAAATCGAATCAATTGAATCAATCATTTAAGTTTCTAAGACTTCTATAAATTAGCAATGAACTGACGATATCCTTGAGAAATTTTCTTCCAGAATTTGATGGTTAATGCATAAATTAATATGCTCTATCATATACTTTATTTTCATTTTGATAATTCTTTCTTATCACTTGCTTTTAAACTAAGCAATAATTTTAAATAAAGTTTTGTATATTTTATAATGAACATAGAAGTCAAGAGCAAAACATACAGAGTCGAACACTTATTTGAGGCTAGTGTACAGGACAGATTCTTCGAAATACTGAGACTCGTAAGCACAAATAAATTTCATTTACAGTTAATTTTGCTTAAATGAACAACTTCTACTCCTACTGCTCATTTATATTTTTTTAAAAAACAAATGTTATATGTCAGCATAGAGAAAATAATTCTGTCAAAATTACCGCATGGTATGATAATGACTTTTTTAGTAAAAAAATCATTGTTCTTGTAATAAAAATTAAAATATACGGTATGCAACACTAGAACAGCCGGATTTTGGATTTATCTAAAACCGCCATTTTAAGTCAATTTGACCTTCGTAAGAAATTGATGTTTATTCAAGGAAAATACAGCCTCCCTTCCCATACAGCACAGATACATAATAATTGTTACCATATTCTGGTAGTTTTGACCATACTTTTTTTCTTAGTGTGAATCTAGAAGCAACAGAGCAGATTCGATAGATTTTTTTAACTGATAAAATAACAATATTCTATATAAAAATACTAGATTTTATCTCCAATATGAGTTATTAAAAAAAGTACATAATAATTCAAATAACCTATACAATTTCATAAAAGTAAAATCTCAGATTACTTTAATAAAACAGAGTTGTTTTTCAACTAGAAAGTTCTATATCTCTCACACGCCATTTGAAATTCCTACTATGAGAGCTGATTAATGTTATATGAAATTTTTAAACTTTCTAATCAGGAAAAACCGAATTATCTTAAATAGGTTTGAACTGGGAAATACAATTCACAAATATGTCAAAATATAGTGCATTTCTTTATTGATTCAATATGATATTCATGTATCCAAAATATAATTAAGAAATGCTTTACAAAAAAATATTAATCTTACTCAAAGTAAAAATAACTTGTAAAAATTTTAAAATTTAAAACAGTTCTATTTTATTAATATATCAAAAGTTATAAAGTTTATAACAAAATATAATCTTTACAAACATTAACTAATTAATCTAAGAACTAATGATAAACAATACTATTTCTTAAATATTTTTATTTTAAACCTACACAACTTTATTTAATTTGCGTACTAAAATTTTAACAAGCCTTAACTGAGCAAAGTGTTCTTTGAGCAAACTAATCAGCTTTAAAGTACACCATCCGAGATAAGTAGCTTTTCTAAGTTTTAACTCAACTCAACTTGTAATTATTTAAAATGAGATAATCATCACAGAAGGTGCAATTAAATTTTAAAGAATTGCCTGTAGGATTGCTTGAACCACAATTAAATGATGAGTTAAGGAAATTTTAAATACTCGTGAATAATTATGGGTTTGATAACTGTTACTGTAAAAGTTTCAAGGTTGCTTCGTTGAAATAACATTTGACATTTCAATAATTTGCAAAGCAGCATTCAAATAGTTACGAAAACTATTTAAGTAATACAGCATACAAACAATTATACTTCAATAAATATATAATTTTTATAACTATGCATTAAAATAACTTATATAGTGCATTTATAACTATGTAATAAAAATATAATTTTTGAGCATAGTTAATAGTTATTATAGGTATAAATTATTACTATTATTATTAGTATAGATCATTATTTAAAATGTTATCACGTAAAATATACATTAATTTAAAAATTTACAAATATTCCAGTGTGTTTGGCTATTTATTTGCCCAATTTCAGAATTTTATAGTATGTTTTTTCATAAATATGAATCCTTTTGACAGAAATCTAGCTGATAACTATTTTCTTGAACACTCTTAGAAATTTCTCGGAAAAAAATGGTTAAGTAAAAATTTATTTAATTGTTATTTTACCGTATTCAAACAAAACAGTCAAATAACCGTAAATAAAATAACATTCAGCCTTTTAACTATGTGAAAAACTGTTTATTAACTGCTTCCACCTAATACGGTTAAATAGTCAGAATTTTTTTGCACGTACTAGACACACCTAATGAAGCCACTTAGTTCCTTGCAGCTGGGTTTACACACGTTATAGCCGAGAATCCTAATCTGTAAATCTCATAATCGACAATACGGAGGTTCAAGTCCCAACGTTGACTCCACTATATTTCCTCTATTCCTTTAAACACCTGAAGAATTTATAGTGGCCCGCACTCCCTAATTGGTGACCCTCGACTATTAGAATGCGATACTCTCATTCAAGCCTAGATGGCAGCACAGTAAAGCTACTTAACCCGAAAATGTTTAGTATTTCCCATCTCTTACGATAGGTGAAACAACCAGAAAAACTAATTTTACGACAGTTAAATTTCTTTTTTATTGTTTTCGAACCATGCTGGTTGCAAATGCTTAAAAACAAGTGTATAAGTTTGTATTTCATGGTTTTATAATCATACAGTTGCAAAGGTTTCAAAACCGTTAAGGTAAAAAATGTTCTTTACCGTAAACTTCACGGTTAATTGGATGGCCAGACAGCTGCCGGTTATTTTACCGTAGTTTTAGAATGAAAATTCGAAATTTGTTATTCATGAGTACATTT